GGACCATGGACCATGGGGGGGAGGGGGGGGTTGAGGAAGGGGGGGCCGCGGAGCGCCTGACCCTCTCTCCTCTCTCTCTCTCTCTCTCTCTCTCTTTCTCTTTCTCTCTCTCTCTCTCTATATATATATATAATTCACGCCATATGTATGTATGTATGTATGCATGTATGTGTGTATGTATGTATGTATGTATATATATATATATGTATGTGTGCATGTATGTATGTATGCACATACATTACTATTCATTTTTGTATCTATAGTTACTACTGTAGAGCCCACGTATCATAACATCTTATGTCACATTCTGTTCTATACTACTCTGCGGCGTTCTATTTAATTATTGTATCATCTTTCATGAACTCACATGGCAGTACATTAGTGCGTTACGGTACATTACATGGCTTACCCTACACTATGTTGCACTATATTATATTCAGTTGTATATGATACATCTTGTACTCGACATTATATTATATTGTACTACAGTATTTCTCTTATGTTAGAGTATACATAGTACAGTATGTTATACTATACCATGTTCTATATGATAGTAGGGTTAGATTAGATTATTTCATATACTATATATTATTATAAATTCTGTACATTCTGTACTGTGTATTGTATAATATATTTCGTAATACATTATTGTTCTAGTACAATGTATGTACGTACAGAGAGAACAGATGTTGAAATGCCCCCCCCCATCCAGCCCTGAATTGCGGGTCCCCATGACTGCTGAAACCACTCCAGCTTTGTTTGGTGTATTCATGAAAGTCATAAGCATGCATCCTCACATTACCACGATCATCATCCACATTAGCTGTTTTTGGTAAATTTCATGACAGATGTGCCGTGCAATAGCTGGTGCTGGGTGTGCATGATTCCGATTGTCGCGTTGTTGACACGTTGCCCTGCATTGTGACACATTCTGTGCTGGAACTAGAACATAGCACACGTCAGGCAATTAGTGGGCTGAAAGAGCGAGGCAAACGTCCAGGCAAACACCGACTGACGAGCAAAAAACAACAAGTATAAGAAGGCAAGACTGCATCAAGAGTGGAGTGCAGTCAGTGTTGCATGACAGGCTGGAAAGATCTTGCATTCTTGGGCTTTTTCTACCTGACTACCTGCATAATCAGAGCTGTAGCAACAGCTCAAGCCGCAGAAAATGCAGTGCTAGCAAGATGCTTCAACTTTGAGCACAAGGCCGACTTGCTCGATTTTCCACGGCTCTCCTCACAATTAGACGTTCGGGGCATTGCTTGGGGCAATGTCTTAGCTTCCAGGCGCAGCTCCAAGCCATCGGCGGTACATGGTATGCACCCACACCATACACGGGTACGGCAGGCAGTGTGTTAGATTCACACACGTTTTGCTACTTGGCTGGTGGCCCTGCAAGTAGATCCTTGACCGGAAGCCCTTCAACAAATAGATTCAAATCAATGGCATGCCAAAGGGCAAGCAATCTGTTGTGCCTGAGGAGAACTCTACGGTACATGCTGTGGGCAAAACAACACCAGCGTGAACGCCACTTGCGGGATGTCATGATCGTGTGCCGCTGTCCTGAGGCGCGCTTGCAAAGGCTTGTGCCTGCTACAGCCCTTGACAACAAGAGCAGTGTCCCAAGGCATACGCCTACAGCCCTGCAGCTTTTGCAGCACTGCATTATGCACAGCCATAGCCAGCGACACGGATGTTAGGCCTCGGTCCAGCAGTGCGTGTAATCTGCAAAACATTGCTAGCTCCTCGTTCGAGGTCCCTGCTCATAAAAGAGGTTGGCCTCTTCAACAATGACTTTTGCCGAGCTGGGTTGCACTGGCTTGTAGAGTTCATGGTCGAAGGGAAACCTCGGATGCCACTTTGAACACCCTAAAATCCTCAGACTCTGACATGCACTGAAATGCCACGGCGCCAGTTATTCGACAGATTCGCCGGCCCAAGCCTGAGAGGCAAAGGAGAACTCGACCAACCCGCTGGAGCACCCCTTTTAAATCTCGAGGTATTGAATGAAGTGAAAAATATCAGCATCCTGGGAACGATAGCCGAGTGCCGAGGAGGAAGTCGCCACGGAGGGCCAAAGGGAGGATCAGATCTCCTTCGCTCACCTTCTCCGTGCCTGCGAATATCTGGACAGCTTCCTTCCATACTGCCCGGACCGGGACAAGACCTGTATCGCCGGTTGCACAACCCGGCGTGATCAAGATAAGGCTAGTCTCTCCGGCTCAGCGATTTGGCGTTGGCTTCGGCAGCCAGGCCATTTTGGTAAGGATCGCTAGATCGTGGCTTTTAGGTGTCAGACAAGAACCGAAGGTGCAGACCTGCCAATGTCCTTTGCTCCCACACTCCAGCGAATGTCCGTGAGATGCATTCAACAGATAGAAGCCGTGCTTTGGCTTCTCGGCAATGCTTCCAGCAGATCTACTCTTGAGCCTGCACGACCCAGATCGAGCCTTGCCCACCGCTAGGTTCACTTCTCGTCGCCACGAACAGCGTGTGCGCGAAGGTCGGCAACCATCCCTCCTGATCAAGGGTTCCCTACTAGGGGGCGACCCGATGCCAACATGCCTGCTTTGGATCGTCCGACTTGTAGCACCAGGACCTGGCTCGGGCAGGCCAGAACGGTTGCAATTTGATGGTGCTTACTTACACTTGAAACTTCTTCGCTACCTGCAGCCGAAGTGCCACTGATCAAAAGGGGTCGACGGCTTTCGCTCACCTCGATAAATCACTGTTACTTTGTCCCCGGGCTGAGCTTGAAGACAATGCTCGTCTTCGAGTGCAACCTCAGAGAAGCTTCAGGAATAGCTTCCTGTCTACGTGGCTCTGGCCAAGAAGGAACCTCGGCTTGCACTTCGTACCGTGAATCACCTGGTCCAGAGGTACGGGGTCCTGTCCCTGCTGCCTGCTGGGACACCAATTCACAATTTTTTCCACATCTGCCAGGCTTCGCTGACATGCTGCAGCCACGTCACTTGTCGCCTCAGCTTCCAGTTTCCACTTGCAGCAGGACATAGTAGGACGATATACGACGTCAGTCATGGCACTCAAGACGCACGCGGATCTGCGGCGATCAGTGCAACCAACGACTCAGTCAGCTTGGGGCAGGCTTCCAAGCGAAGTCAGGTTGTGGTGCTGTGTGCATTGGGCATCTGCGCCAAGAGACAAAACAATCTCGGGCTTGACAAACATACCTCAGAGGCAGAACACACGTGAATTCTCTCCGTGCTTCACCTAAAACCATGGGAAACATTTCAGGCGGGCTGCTATCAACGTTAGCAGCGTCAACCATGAAGAATGCTCGCGTACTGGACCCACTTCCTTTACAAGGGGCTTGTGAGAAGGAGTAACTATTTCACAGGGCTCTGGAGCTGGAGTGCAACTGGTTCGGCCTTCGTAGTGTCGGGCGACCTGTGAGACGTCAGGGCCTGTCGTAAGCTTCTGCAGTGTCGGCTTTAAATTGACACTGGAATGCTCTGAGAATGCAAGCCTCCCGGCCCACTTCTCAGGATCACACGAGCACCTGTTCGGATTTGATGTGGCAGGTTCACATGCCTCATGAGTACAACCGAATCATGTTGCACTCGTTGCTTTCGTTCATCGAATTTATCGATTTTCACTACATACGAGTGTCCGCAGCTTGCCAACACTGTCAACAATTAAGATCGAGCATGAACCACTTATCGTGCACTGAGCACCGACGCACCCCGAGGCCTGCCCCTCTGAATTCCACCACGGCCCCGAAGCAGCGATGCTCGGCCCCTGCTCGGGTGTTGCACAAACGGGCCTCTGCAAAATGGTAGTGCTCCTTCTACGATGTCAAGACCAAACATGTTATGCACTGTCAAGCCTGTTTCGCCATGCAACGTACTCATCTGTATTTCGTAGACCGCAGATGAGCATTGCCCGGCACAGTAACGCCGGAATACGGGGCAACTGTGCCTTTGCAGCTGTTCGCAAGCTCCACTGCCAAGGATTCCTCGTGAGGAATGTGCAGTCCCACAAAGCAAGTCACTGCAAACGGATTCAGCCAAGTTTCAGCGACACGACCTTCATATGGCGACTGCATGAACGCAACATTGCACTTCCAGGCCGGGAAGGCGCGAAAAGTGCAGACCTTGCGTGTAACAGTGAAGTAATTGGAGGCACGAACAACCGATGCCATTGCATTCTTGCCAGCTTCTTGTCGGTAAAGGATCGTATGTACTTATGGCGGCAATGGCAGCAACCAGCACGATTACTGATAACAGCCTCAGTGTATTCACACAGCACTGTCTAGCTGCCGTACCGTCTGACAGGCTCCTTCCTGAGTGTCCTAGTGCATGGATTGCACATCCGAAGGCAACTCAGGTGGGTCATGTGTAAAGCAAAATCTGCAGCATCAAGTTATAGTTGAACGGTTCGTGCGAGACGCCAGTCTGCCTCCAGAACGGAAAAGGCACGAACGACATTTCGAACCAGCATGTTTCGAGTCGATCAGCGATGCAGGTGCGCCTTGAATAACGGGACATCCCCGTCTTCAATGGATTTTGGCAGCGTCTGATCAGACAAGCTGCTGCACTGCTGCGGGACGCTTCCCTGCCCTTCTCGTAAATCTCGCACTCCACCTGCTTGCCTGCTGTCTGCATATTTCATGGTAAGGCTGCTAAGGCTTCCCGCTCAGTTCCTCTGGCAAACAGCTCCGCCCAAGCGGTAAAGAGAGCACTTCCCTGCACCGCACTCCGAAGAGAAAGTATTTCTTGTAGTCTCCATCCATGCTGAAACCATACTGATTTGACTCTGCTGGATTTGCTGGTTTCTACTACAGCGCCACACCACGCCACGGGATTCACCGCCGGGCCTGCCGCAATTGCCTCTGAGATCTGTTGCTTCGCAAGATCCTTATCCTCTATCAAATCGCCGAATCGCTGGAAGGTGCTGTCTTTCAACCTCCGTGCAATGCAATGAGCTGCAAGGAGCTCGCAGTCAGCTGCGCCGTCCCTGAATCGCTTCCAAGGCTCGCGACTTTTACATGCCGTTTCTCCTCGTCAACTGAGCAGATCTTGAAATTATTGTTGCAAAGCATTCCAACCTGTTACATCTTCGTTGACGCTAGTTGAACTGTCTTTGCCGACTGTTGCGCCAGCAACTACAAGTCTGCAACACAGAAAGAGAGATCACATGTTCCAAGCAGCGCCTGCCCGTACTGGTTTATATTTACAAGATGCAAGCCAAGCGGCGCCGAGAGCATTCACAAACCCCGAGTCGAGAGCATCCAAGCCGTCTTCCAAAGCCTCCCACCGCTTGAGAGCTGTAGCGTGACCCAGCATGACTGAGAACGACACTCGCAATGTGCAGAATGTGCATCATGAAGGTTTATCAAATGGAAGACATGCATGTGTTTTGGATGCTTTTGGTATGTCCCTTCATTGGGGGAGGCCTTTGTTATGCTTGCATAGACAACCTTTAGGTGTACCATGGCAGAAGCTGATGCATCAGGTTGCATTGCTGCAGCGCCACCCTCCCGTCTCGAAAAGCGCTACGTCCCAGATGGGCATCTTCAATGGCTCGCCTCAGCTCGCCAGCAGGGAAGCAGTGTGGAAGATGACAGCATCTGAAACGACCAGGCTTCTGCTGGCTGTAATATGACTCTTTGTCATTTGCATGCAGCAAAGTAAAAACAAGCAACGCAAAAAGCTGTCAGTGCACACTCCAAAATAGTCCGGCCGGGGGCTGTTGAGGTTTCTGCGGCGAGGGGATGGAAACCGCGTTTGTATGTTTTTCTGCGGCGCATCCGTCGTTAGCGGCTTCGGTGGAAGTTCTTAGTGACTCTGCCCGGATAGACCCGTCCGGCGGCACAGCGGCCACCACGGATGGGCTACCTTCCCGATGCTGCAGGCAACAATTCGTTGTTCTTCATTTTCGGCAATAAACGGTCTCAGTAAACCATAAGATCCTCGTCGCAAGATCTTATCTTGATGTGGTCCGACTGGTTTGATGCACGGTTGCTAGCGATGATGGAATTCCTTTTGCATGTGGCATCATGTGGCACAAGCTCGTTGGTAGCCCGGATTGTGGAGGCGTGTGCTCGCCCTGTGATAGAAGTTCCTCCCCCAGCACATTGTCTGGTCCGGAATGCCACAACGTGTTCGGCGGAGGTTTCTCAGACACAAGTCACCACAGCGTAATCCAGGTCATATCAGTATTCCGACATCACTCAGTGGCTTTGGGATCAGACTTGTAGTCCAAGTGCATTTGTGCCAGCTGACCCAAGCACCTGCTTGTCGCGCACCTTGTTGCTAGGCTGCGCTCGGCTCTTCCCCGCTTGAACTGTGGCAGATGGGGTCGGCGGGCGATGATGGCTAAGTGCTAGCTGCCGGCACACGAGGCATCTGGAATGGTCTCACCGTTGTCTGTGGCATCTCCCTCTCCAGGTTAGGGGCGGATGCCCTGGCATCATCTAGCATCCATATTGGCTGGTGGGATCCGATGCAGGTCTCATCAGGTTTCATAAGCTGATCCTGCTGTCGATGAAAAGGTGTCGAGCACTGAACTACGAAGTCAGGGTCACAAAGTGTGGCATGGTACATTCCCAAGAGCACATTAGTTACAATCATTGCTTGTGAGATCTTGTGAGTATGTGTTTGACGCTTCTGAAGCTTGACGTGTTCGATTGTCGAGCGGCAGGATGACCGGGACAGGCTTGGTCTCAAAGAAGTAATTCCAGGCTAGCACCTACGTAGACTGATCGCTCGACTTGAGATGGGCTAAGGCTGCTCAATCTGCTCAAGGTCTACTCACGCACGACGCATTGAAGGCTTCACAGAACCACACAGCCAAGCTTCGCGGATAACACCTACTGCTACTTGCAGCACGATCAAAAACTTGCTTGACACAAAACAAAGGCTCCCACTCCGGCTCCCATCTCCTCATCTACCTCAGGCACGCTTGGAAGAGCACAGATGAGACTCAAATAAGTCTGGTCGAACATATGTGTTTGTGTGTGTGTGTGCTTTTGCGTGTGTGCTTGCGCGTGCGTGCGTGTCTCATGCCTGTCCGGCAGTCTGCGCGAGCACGTCTTCATCTTCTTCCCTGCCTGCTTGTTGTCAACTGCAGCTAACTAGCTGCTAGCTATGTAGAACGATGACACTTAACTTAGCGGGCTCAGTCTTGCCGACGAAGGATTCCCGTCTGTTTGCATGTAGCATGTGCAAATGTCGTGTTGGGGTGGGCAAGTGGCCATCGCTGCCACGTCTACAAGCGCATCTCGTTTGAAGCCAAGCAGCGAAAACCAGGCCTCTGGAGAGAAAGGCAAGTGCAGTTCGAGCTGGCTCTTTGCGTTCTGATGTTTTGGCATGAGCACCATGGAAAGCTGCAGCCAAGTGTCAGCTGTCGCTAGCATGCTCAATCTCCTGAGAACAGCTTTGACTTTGCGGCTTGTCTGTTCGCTTCTCTCCTTGAGCCAGAGCAATGTGTCCATGGTTCCTTTGAGATCTTATGGAACCTGCATGCCTCCACGCTTCCATGCTCACGATTTCCCACATTTTGCCAGTTCTCTCGCCACCCTGCAAACTGTCTTAAAGCGTGTCCTCCTTCACGCCCCTGTGCGTGTCCATAATCAGAATCCGACAGTGGTACTCCATGCACCTGGGCGGGACGCTCCACGAACTCTATGTGCAAGGTGCATGCACGCCCCGGCATGCCCCGGCGACCAATCAGCAATGCAGCAATGCATATACATTTTCATTTCCTGACACGAGAGGCAGGGGCACACTGCCGAACATCTCATTTTAGAGATAAAATGCCCGTCTGAAGCGACAGTGCTGCATTTGCTGCTCGACTTCACGCAAACTACATTTAAATATGACCTGGGCTGCAAGGTATGCATCGCGTACTGTCTCACTGACATGAAGTCGGCAGCGTCAACGGTCTGTCTCCGAGGTGGTGCTGTACAACTGCTCACGGAGGGATTAGACCCTCGCACGCACGGCAAGTCACGTTTGTGCGGCCGCGTCCAGAGCACTGATTCGGAAAGATAGACAAACCCCGAGGATCCAAGCGATTTGATGGTGTGCCTAATTTGATGATGTGCAGCAGTGCAACATTCCCCAGCAAGCATAGCTTCTTTCCAAGTTTTATTGCGTTGAGGATCGCACAGGCTGGGTGAGACGCGCCCGGAAGATTTTTGCTTGCAGTTCTTGACGACCTATGTTCTCCACCCGATGGCATGTGAGGTGCCAAGTCGGCTCCGCTCATACCTCTAGAATCCCCTAGACATGGAACTACCGGTCACCTCCAGGCAGATCCCTGCATTAATTGATATGCATGTCCTTCGTTTCCAACGTCTTCTGTCGCTGGGCCAAAGTCCTGAACTTGGGGCCAGGATGCAAGAATTCATGTGGAAATGTGGGATAACATGACCTTTGCTCTCCTGCAGCGCTGCGGACCCAGCACCCTTGTCCATGAACTTGCGGTTGAGTTTATCAACTTGATCTGTTAGGAAATTCACCTGCCAGGCTTGTCTTATTCTGTGCTGTGCATAATACTTCCCACAGAACTCTTCAGCACCCGCATGTGTGGCTTCGGTTCCTAGAATAGACAAATCACACAGCAGCCTCCAACGTTGTCGGCACTTCTGCAATTGCGGATATATAAAGACAATAAAACACAAAGGCTGTGGGGCTCAGAACTGCCAGCGAACTCCCCTCCCGCTCACACCGAAATGCGGCCGTGAAGTTCTTGCACTGCACAGAGATCCCCCGAAATGTCGGTTCAATCACTGCAGCCCTGGTGGATGCTTTCACAGCATGGGAGACTTAATGAGTGTTGCTGTCGGAATGCAGACAAATCGGCTGCAGTTGGCAGCGCATCTGACTTTTTTTACTTCGGGATGCCACCCACTATCTGTCAGGCCAGTCGAGCTGCGCCGAGCAGCTTCCCGCAAGCTGTCCGACCAAGAGGCAGAGATTTCCGGCAAAAAGATCTGCTTACTTGTTGGCACGCAGCATCACGCAGCCACACACCATGTGAGCGAAGGCATGGCGACTTCGTTGCACAACTGACAACTCTCCAGCCTGCCGCAACAGCATCTGTAGGTCATAACTTCTGGCCTGCCCTTTGAGGCGGGCCACGCCCCTGTCACAAGGAAGGGCTCGCCAAAACAGAGACATGCAAGCATGCCACCACAGGAAGGAAGCTGCAAAGCCTCTCGTCTCTGGATAACATGGAACATGCAAAGATGCTAGACGTGGCCTTAACTTCCCGAACTAGACCCCTGCTAGAAAAGCACGTTCGAGCACATGGCATGCCTGATGAGCTCATCCATTGTTAGGTCCCCGTCTTTGTCTGCATCGAGGATAAGATCGTACAGTCCATCGCCCTGACAGCCGGGCGTCTGTGAAGAACGGCACGCATTTCTCACTCTGTGCGGTCTCTGTTGTTTCCACCATGTCACGGTGGACTGACTTCTGACCCTCTCAGTTTCTTGCTTTGCCTGTCACCTGCCTGACTTTCACCTTCCCAAATTCGTAAACAGCTTGGGCAAGGACATCGGCTGCATCCAGGTCCATTGAGCCGAGCCATAACTGTACAGCAGGATGGCTTACCTTGGACACGGCCCCAGCCTATAGGGCAGCACTCTCGCACATTGAATCACAATGCTTGACGGTAGCCGGCAGGTATGCTCCCCACAGCAGGACATGCCCAGCGGTGTTGTTGAGACGAGCGCTGCAGTGTATGTCCCATTCATGCCCTCCACTTGTAACCGAGACGCCAGTGCACGCCACTCCTCTCGGCTCACCAAGCCGTCTTCTTGGTAACAGGTCGAACTGAAAAAGAATCGCGTTGGCAAGCTGTTGGTTTGACGTGCTGATCTGATGCGATGTGACGAAGGATTGAAGCATTGCTCAGCGTGCAGCGAGCGGAAATCTGAGCCCGCCGCGGTCATTGTCAGCTTCCAGAAACAACTGCCGCCTGAAGATGCGCAAGCAGCACGTCTAATACGCTGAACTTCCCAAACCACAGCTCCAGGTGAGCATCAGCACAGAAATTGGTAACGCTGTGTTCTGAAGCTCTCGTGTCACCCAGGAGCATCTTCATCTCGTGCAGATTTGACGACCGCTCTTTTTGCCTGGTGGCTGCACCGACGCAGGGCCCCTCCTTGTTTCAAAGACAATGTTGCGTCTCGCCTCATCATTATCTGATTGTCAGAAGATGCCACTTTGAAGGTTTCCTGCACCAGGTCGTGCTTGCAAAAAACAGAACAAATCTTTCCTCTACCAAAACATGCGAAATCCTGGTTCGCCGACCTGGATAAAAACGCCGTTGATGACTCCCACGACAGCAAAGCCAATGACCAGCTTGTGCAACACACAAAGCAGCATAAACCATTCCTTAGTTTAAGCAGGCATTCCTAAGCCGAGCAAATTTGCAAACATCCCCCAGTCTCAAAGCGAAGGTGCCGAAACTTTCTCGGAGAGCAGCCTGCCAATTCAGGAATAAAGGCATGTGAACGAGGGTTGGGACTGTGTTAAGTGGTGCAGCTGCTGCCTTGCCGTGGGGAAACGGCGAAAGTAAAGTTTAACATCAAATGATGGCAGGCTACACGCATGGCGACAGGCTCTACCAACTATCTTGATTAAGTAAGCTGTGTCTCTATGCTATGGAGTTGCTGCCGGCCTGCATACTGGTGGCCAGTTGCCCAACGTTATCTCGAACATTGAGAGCATTGAGCGAGTAAACCTTGCTTGCAGTGAAGGCACAAGAAAGCAACTGAACATGCCACAGCGCCTCAGGAGTCTGTGTGTATTGCAGTTATGCCCATTCACAGGCCGGCTCAACGACCGCACCTAGACGGTGTTTCGCCGTAGTTTGCAGCCGGTATGGCTGGGAAGGGGGCGATCCCGCGCGCGGTCACGTTTGTGGGGTACACAAGCCGAAAATCTTGCATTTCCACTTTTCGCGTATTTGGGCCAACGGGTCAATGCAGAGGCTTCGCGCGACATCCACTGGAATGCTTGGGACGAGCGACAACTCGTCCCGAAGCCTGCCAGAGAAATAGGACGACACAGACATTGCCCACAATTTGTCTAGTAGACAAGTGCCACTTGCACATCGGAGAACGAGCCTCTCGTTGTGAGCACAGCAAAAACTCGCAGCTCAGCTGCAGGACATCAGAATACATAGCATCTGTTGGGCGCGATACTGACGGAAATGCCCGACGACATCTTGCTCGGCATGTTGGCAGGCTTGGCGAGCACATTGATCGGGTGCCGGGGTGTCGACTCAATACATCGGTGACTGATAGTGCCTGCAATGAGACAAAGAGCTGCAAGGAGCAAGCTTATGTCAGATAAACCACATATCGCGGGAGAAATTTAATTAGCTTCCTACAGTTAAGTCAGCCCCTGTCTAAATGCGAACATGTGCGAGTGCGAACACTGGACTGGGTAGAGGTTGACTGTGAGTCCGGCCTTCCAACAGGTTTCAATCTGATTTACATCAACGTTTCCATTGCTGACCCATCTGAGCGTTATGACAAGGTAATTCAACACTGAATGCTCTACAAGACTCGAAATCGGAGAGATCCAAGGAATGCGACCACCGAAACCCTGAATTTCAGTCAAACACAATGCAAATGCACCTCTACGCCCCTCTGTTGGGACCTACGCTGGCATTCTTCCGGCAATACCAGTACGTCCAACATTTCACCATATATTGGATCAATGCATGTCAAGAAAAAACCTAGAGCCTACATCGCAAATTGGACGCACACCGTCTGCATAAACAAGCTGATGACCAGCAAAACAGATGACGAATATGTCCGAACATCGCCTCGCAACTAAACGGTTTCAGTGATAGATGGAGTGTTGGGGAATGTCACTTGAATGTAATAAGCGGTCTTGCGACGACTTAAGCCTGAAAGACTCGACCGCCATGCGATCTACTACATGTAGAACCTGTGCGGAAGAACCAGCCACTTCCAAGGCTGAGGGTGCTGCGTCCCAAAATATTCAAAGAGTTCCTTGGCATGCTGGGCTTGTCACTGCTTACGCCTGATGGCGGCTGCAGGACATGTCAGGTTGCCTTGGGGCCTATCCGAGGAGAAGAATGAAAACCCGAACGGCAACTCAGCTTGAAGTCTTTGCTGGTGCTAGACTGGGCCGCGACAGTTCCTCTTGCAGCAGCCCAAGCATCCAATCGTTCAGCGAGAGGATAATCCTCACTTGGGAAGTAGACGGTATACCTCAACACCAAGCACTCGCCCAAGCCCTTGGAGGGGTTTTCGTCCCTTCGCAGGGCAGCTGAAGTCGTGGAAAACGCTTGCTAGCATTGGCGTGAACAGGGCCTGCCCTCCAGCTCAGAATCCAAGGATTTCGAAGCTCGAAGCTCCGCCTTAAAGCGGTCCAACACTTGCTGATGAGTTGCAAAATCTGGTTCAGGAGGAGAGCCAGCAGTATCTGACAGCAGGCGATCAGATCTACACAAACAGTCCTAAAGGCCAACAGTCCGACCTGCAGGACCAGCAACAATACGCCTCGGTACGCTCTGGAATCATGTCTTTGGTTCTGCACATGCCCGGCTCGGCAACCATTGCAGCAAAGACGCAGGCCCAGGTCAGAATAAGAGCGCTTCCCTTTAGAGCCGTTGTCATGAGGTAAAGTGAGTCCTGAGAGCAAGCGGTTGTTATTGGCGCATGTTTCGAGAGGTAGATAGAACTGCCAAAACATCTGGTTCGCAAGCCGCAGCTCGAATTGTGAGCCTGTTCCGGACGAATGCCCTGACGAACGCATACTCACAACAACACGAAAAAGGCACCGCTGACAAGAAACTTCACACAAAGAAGTATCCAGGTACAGTGCAGATTGCTGATAAGCACGTCCAGCTATCACTGCACAATTCTCGGTAAGTTCTTGAATACAGAAGTACAGCTTCCCCAGCTTGATGTCCCTCGTTGAAGCTCGGGCGTTAGAGGGGTGTCTACCCATTGTCAAAAGCATTCCCTATCGTATTTGCTGCCTCTAACTAAACTCACGTGCCCGCCAGACGACTGGAAGCTAGTAGCCAGTAAAGCCAAGTCTGAATGCAGCACAGCCTCAAAAGTCTTTATCAGCCTAACCAGCCTGACAGCGAAGTGGGATGCGGCAGGCATTGTACCAAAATGTTGGTCGACCACACTCCCATTTTCGAAATCTGCTGAAGTCTACTGCAAGATGGCAAGCAAAGAACAAGTCGCTGCATCTTTCATCTTGACTCTAGGCATATGGGGCCTCTGATTGCACAGCACGGGGTTTAGGGCAGTTTAGGGTACCAGCCAGCTCGCCGCGCTAGCCGTTGAAACAAGCTCTGCCTGAGCAGCCGCAGAAGCCGCACCAAGCGCAGCAAGCGCAGCAGAGTCGTGTTGATTGGCAGAATGTCATTGGCGACAACGTCGATGTACCAACAGCAAACCTTCAAGCATCTAGTCGTATCTGCTAGTCGCGGCCGATTTCGCTCTATGTCCCTGCCAGCTACGGCCGTTCGATCAACAAATTGCACCTCTAAACGGTGTCTGTGGAGACACGCAGGGTGGGCTAGCGCAAACGAGCTAGGGACCGGTCAAGGTCCCCTGGCAGAATGCCCACTCAACTTCACTAGTTGGGGACGGGGAGTGAGGAACGAATGTAGTTCGTCAACAGGCTCATGCCATATATTATACGATGACGAAAGCTTTGACAAACGTACATTCTCATGTATCACATGCATAGAGGTCAAAGGTCATTTTCGACCCTTGTCCCCTGAACAGAGGATCACTTTTGGACATGCTTGTCCTAGCAGAATGAAGATGACTCTAAGTCGATACCATAAGCAGAGCTAATTCAGCAGTACGATCAACCTAAAAAGTTGTATGGGGAGTCGTCTTCACGCCATGGTTGGCAGGTATTTTCCCCCTGCCCTAATGATTGATGCTTTCTCTCTTCTTCCACACGTCCAAAGGGGTCAGCGGTCGCATCCCCCCCGCGCGTTGACGCGCCCCGGAGG